TCCAGTTTGCTGGAGAAGAGTTGTTTGTAGTGTTATTTTACAATCCTTTGTATCAATATATATTGGGGTGGGGGGGAGAGGGTCGGTTGTTGCTTTGCCTCTTTCATTTCTAATTTTGTTTATTTGGGTTCTCTCTCTGTTTCTTGGTGAGCCTGGCTAGAGGTTCATCAATCTTGTTTATACTTTTAAAGAACCAACTCTAGCCGAAACCAGTTTGGCTCAGTGGATAGAGTGTCGGCTTGCAGACTGAAAGGTCCCAGGTTCGAATCCTGTCAAGAGCATGTACCTTGGTTGCGGGCACAGACCCAGCTGGGGGTGTATAAGAGGCAGCTGGTCAATGTTTCTCTCTCATCGACGTTTCTAACTCTCTCTAGCCCTCTCAATTCCTGTGTAAAATCAATAAAATATATTTTTAAAAAAAAAGAACCAACTCTAGGTTTTATTGATCTTTGAATTTCTTTTTTTTTTGTCTCTATGTTGTTTATTTCTGCTCTGATCTTTATTATTTCCTTCCTTCTGCTTACTCTGGGCTTTCTTGTTGCTCTCTTTTTAATTCTTTAAGTTGCAGGGCTAGATAATTTTTACCATTTTTAAAAAATATATATTTTATTGATTTTTCAGAGAGGAAGAGAGAGGGATAGAGAGTTAAAAACATCGATGAGAGAGAATCATTGATCAGCTGCCTCTTGCACACCCTCTACTGGGGATGTGTCTGCAACCAAGGTACATGCCCTTGACCGGAATCGAACCCGGGACCTTTTAGTCCACAGGCCGGTGCTCTATCCACTGAGCCAAACCTGTCCCGGCTCTTGGCTTTTTTGTTTGTTTGTTTGTTTGTTTGTTTGTTTTAAGGTGGGCCTGTAGAGGTATGAGCTTGCTTTTCAGGACTGTTTTCACTGTGTCCTATAGATTTTGGATTGTTGTGTTTTCATTGTCAGTTGATTCCAGGATGCTTTTTATTTCTTCGTTGATATTGATATCTTTGGTAACCTAATCATTAATAGCATGCTTTTAAATCAGTAGTCAAACTTTTAAAACCAGTCTAAAAGAAATGGATCACATTCATGCTTTAAAGTATTCAAAGTTGACAGTACAACAATCTTTGTTTCCCTAAATGATAAACTTTTAAAATGTTTTTATTGGTATTGATTTTAGAGAGAAAGGGAGGAGAGGTAGAAACATCCATTAAAGATAAACATCCATTAAAGAGCCTGTCTCTTGCATGCCCCCTACAGGGGGTCAAGCCTACAACCTGGACATGTGCCCTAAGAATGAAACCAGTAACCTCTTGTGTATGTATTGACACTCAACCACTAAGCCACACCATCTAGGGTGATAAACTTTTTGTGTGGAGGTGGTATTTATAAAATTATACTTATTTATAGTTCTTGGTAGATTGAGCAGTTACTGTGTTGTTTGGTAGTGGGAAAAGGAAATTTAAGATTGGCCTGGAGCAGGAGTAGAAACACCCATTTTAAAAAATCCACTCAATTAGAGATTTATATTACAAGTGCCTTCTCTCAATGGAGGGTTTATACTCGTACTTGAATTCCTAATACATTACACCTAACTCTTTGTATTATGAGAAATGAGAGCCTGAGTTCTGTGTGTGAATACATCACAATGAGAGAAAATGTTTTGAAAATGAGTTCCAAGGCCAGTAAAGAGATCCTTAGTATTTTTAAAAAAATATATATTTTATTGATTTTTTAAAGAGAAAGGGAGAATAGAGTTAGAAACATTGATGAGAGAGAAACATCAATCAGCTGCTTCTTGCACACCCCTCACTGGGGATGTGCTCCCAACCAATGTTCATGCCCTTAGACTGGAATCAAACCTGGGACCTTTCAAGTCTGCAGGCCGACCCTCTATCCACTGAGCCAAACTGGTTTCGGCAAGAGATACTTAGTTTTGCTAACAAAAGTATGCTCTAGGTAATGGTACCTTTGTTATGATTTTTGCTGATTTGGAGGCTCCAAACCCTAGTTCTCTCTAATTCAGTACTGTTTAACTTCCCCGTTTTAGTGGTTTCTCTCCATCTCAGTGAAAATGAATATCCCTGTTCCTGAGCCTTTTGGAACAGCGCCTCCCTATTAATGTTGATGGCATGCCACATGTATGTTTACATATTTTTTTGTCTAACTTCTTTTAAAAAAATAGTTTTATTGATTTTTAGAGAGTGAGGAAGGGTAAGGGGGAGAGAAACATCAATGTGAGAGTGGGACATCCATTGCCTGCTCCTGTACACGCCCTACTTGGTATTAATTTGCAACCCAGCCATGTGCCCTGACTGGGAATTGAACCAACAACCTTTTGGTGCACAGGACAACACTCAACCGAGCCAGGGTTTGTCTAATTCCTAAGTTTGAAAGGCACTTAAATGATCACAAAGTAATTAATCCCCCTTGATATTCTGTTATGTATTAAGTGATAGAAGAATCACTGGGGAGTCAAACTTCTTTGGATCCAACCTTATAAAATAAAAGGCTGGATCTTTGAATTCATCTATGTGATTGTGAGCTATAGCATGTGAATCTTGGATAGACTCATTATATTTGTTGGAATCTCTATATATATCTATCAAAATTAACTCTAGCATCTTTATGTCATAAGTTGTGTACTATTTCATTATACAAAACATTAATCTTATTTACCTCCTGAAGAAAAAAATGCAGGGTAGTTAAGATGGTTAAGTTCAGATGGTTTTTAAAATATATTGTAGAAAGATCTTGTAGTTGAGTCAAAGAAACCTGAATTTCTGCTACTTATTAGATGTGTAACTGTATGCAAGTTATTTATTCTGGGAACAAGTTTAGAGGTGTTACCGAGAAAATGCTTTCATATGTAAGTGCGTTATATCCTTATGCCATACTCATTAGTGAATGTCAGTACTTTTCTTGTACAGGAGAAATGAAATGCCTTCTGGAACAATAATATTGAAAGTGTTGGAAAATATTTAAAAGCTATATAGCTGGCTGAAACCAGTTTGGCTCAGCGGATAGAGCGTCAGCCTGCGGACTGAAAGGTCCCAGGTTTGATTCTGGTCAAGGGCACTTACTCTGGTTGCGGGCACATTCCCTGTAGGAGGTGTGCAGGAGGCAGCTGATCGATGATTCTCTCTTATCGATGTTTCTCTCTATTCCTCTCTGTAAAAAAAATCAATAAAATATATTTAAAAAAAAACTATATAGCTGAGTAAATTACCAAGAAAAGTGTTAATAGAAAAACATGAAAGGACTACTGTTCCTACTATGTAGGACAGATTTATTTTTGTTTTTATATTTATTTATGTCTCCTCCAGAAAGCTCCTTTTCTTTTTTATTTTTTCCATCACCATTTATACCCTCTAAGCCCTCTTGTCCCTCCACTCTACTCCCCCACTTTCCACAATCACCACACAGGACAGCTTTATTTTTATTCTGTACTATTAGTCATGCCTGGTTTGAAATAATTTTTACTGCTTCATCTTAGATTTCATGTGATACTGAAATTCTTTTCATATTGAAAGCTTTTTAGAGAGAAATATCCTTTTGAGAAAGAAATAATCTGATGAGTTTGAATCAAGGCTAATTCTACATGAATTAATAATATATATTATTATTATTATTATACATTTTCTACTTAGTGGCACCATCAACACTAATTCAGCAGAAGCCTTTGTTTAGGTGACAGGATAGAAGGGTAGAAAATCTGTATAGCAAATGATTGGCCTGGAATAGAAGTAGAATCATCTATTTTTAAAAATTCCCTCAATGCCATTTTTTTTAAACTTAAAACAAGTTTATAATTATGAAAGACCTTAAAAACACCAAACTTTTACTTAATATGTATGTTAATTTATAATAATAGAAAATCCATCTTTTAAAAATTTTACTATAAGATTAATATAAAGTGAATGCAGACTACATTGTTAGTGGATTTATATTATGTAATTTGTGTTTTTTTAGCTGAATGAGTTTTTTTCCATGTAGTAAAATGCATTTATTAAAAAAAGTAGATGTATAGGAAATTTTTATAATAAACATGCTAATTTGGGGGAGACTTAAATTGGAAGGGATATTATTTACTAACTGAACAAGGAAATTTCTAATCAAAGCTGAAATCTTATCTATATCTATATAATAAAAACCTAAGTGACCGTTAAGGTGGAACAACCAGAATGACTGGTTGCTATGATGCACACTGACCACAAGGAGGCAGATACTCAACGCAGGAGCTGCCCCCCGGTGGTCAATGTGCTTCCACAGGGGGAGTGCAGCTCAGCCAGACGCTGGGCTCACGGCTGGTGGCGCACGGCAGCGGCAGTGGCAGTGGCAGTAGCCTCTCCTGCCTCTGCAGCAGCGCTAAGGAGCAGTGAGCTGAGTGCTAAGGAGCAGTGGGCAGGAACGAGGGCTCCTGGAGTACGAGAGGGATGTCCAAGTGGGCCTAAGCCTGTAGTCGGACATCCCTTGAGGGCACAGCCCCCCTCCCTTCTAGTGCACGAATTTTGTGCACTGGGCCTCTAGTTACTATATGTTTCTAATTACACTATTTAAAGCTTTTATATTTTAAACCATGGTAACAGAATTATTGCATAGGAATATATTGAAGGTATATCTTATTATATTTATTAGACTTTTGATTTAATTCTCTACAACTTCAAAATAGTATTATGATATGAAACAATAAAATTATTTTTACTCTGATTAAAAAACAAGCTCTGAAATTTCTTGCATTTTTCTACAGAACTCACTTCTCATGATCAAGTGTTCAATATACAGTTAGGAGATCAGTATATTATTAAAAATTAAATTTTTTTCTTTAACTATACCCTATACTTTGAATATATATGTATTTCTGGACACTTGGAATTAACTATAAATTTTGATGATATCTTGACTACAACATTAAAAATAAGATCTTCAAGTAAATATGTTTCCAAATCATATTGTCATTGTGCAGTGCAACTATTCTTGAAGACTAAAAGTTCTGCTTCTCTGGAAAAGTCAATGATTAGTTCTTTATAAGCAGTCGAGGTTCTGTTTTCCTTCTAAACGTTCTTTTACTAATTTTTCCAAAGAGAAAAGATGCTCATCTGCATCTTCTGGCACAAGATTCCTAATAGAATTTGCAAGTTCAAAAAGATATTCTGTATTTCTTCCACTTGGACCAGCTGCATTAAAGATTTGTTCAGCAATATCTTCCAGAGGTGCAGGACCGAGGTAATTAGGATTATCATGTGTTCCAATATATAGCAACACATTGAATGGTTTTGTAGTGGGATCTTTTGGATAAAAAATGACTGTTGTGGTCCTGTAGCCTCCTTTCTCTCTGAAGTCAAGGTATGCTTTTACTTCTTCTTCCTTTCCTGCTGGCAGTCTGTAAGCAACACCCCATACACAACCCTATTGAAAAATGAAAAGAATATATTATTTAGTATTTACAAGGTAAAATAGGAAGTACATTGTGATGTAAGAAAATTTGTCTATTCTTAGAAATCAATGCAGTTTACTTAGTACATCAAAGAGGTACATACTAAACAATAAAGGAAATGATTTTAAATTCTTCAGTCTGAAAACATTTCCTAGCACACCAGGATAATTATCTTTAAATTTTTGAAAATATGTTTTTTATCTAAGGAGACTGAGATGAAAAAAGATCAGGTCTTCATTTGGTCATTAAGACTGAGGTTCTGAAGCTTTAAATCCATAAGCATTTCACTGATGGTAGGGCAGTGGTTTTCAAACCGCTGCATGGAGTGTTAAAGCCACCTGAAGCCTACCTCAGAGGCTCTTGGATATGAGTGTTGGGGTGCTGGAGTTGGGATGCTAGGAGCTGAGCATCACTCATCTTTTTACATATTACGTGTTCCCCTTCTTATTAGACCCCCCTCCCCCCCCCAAAAAAAGGTTTTAAAATAAACTACTTAAGGATAAGCAGTTTATTTGTTCATCTCTTCACTGCCTAAACTTTCAAGTATCCTTTGTAAATTACTTCTTTGAGAATACTACATAACAACTTCTTTTGTCAAGAGAGCCCATGAACAAAGGTCAGTAAAAATAATCTATTTTAGCTGTTAATATTTTTTGCTATAAATAAAATATCTGTGAAATGTAACATTTACATTTTGTAATACAGATCTTCTATCTTCTTGAGCATTTTTATTAAACTTTAGGTTGCTAAGCATCCTCTTGAATGAATTAACATTCTATATAAACAAAGTATCATTTATTAACTTTAATTAAGATTTATAGTTACTAGTTTAAAGCCTTTTTACAGATACCATTCCTAATATAAATTATGAAAGCATCTCATAATTTTACCATTAGTCATCTGCTGTTGCTAGGGGCTGATATTTGTATGTCAAAGTCCTTTCCACAGGTAAATCTTTAATTTTACACTATTAAACTTAACCTATACCTCAATAAAATGACTGAAAAGGACTATTGAGTAAATAAAGGTTTCCTAGTGCTCCAAAACTGTTAAAAAACTTGTTGTGCTATTGATAATTTTAGACAATAAAGAAAGCAGTAATTCCTACCTGGGGTTTTTGCTGAAAATATAGGGTGTACCCCAAAAATGTATATACATATTTTGAATAATTATAAAGGCAGTGTTTATTAAAACATATTTCATTTTCAGAAGTGAGCTATCAGCTGTTAGATAGATTATATATACACTTTTTGGGGGGACTCCCTGTATTAGACTCCTAGCAAATGCGAGGAGAGCTTTAAGGGGTCCATTTCATTCTTTTTTTTTTTTTTTAAATATATTTTATTGATTTTGTACAGAGAGGAAGGGAGAGAGATAGAGAGTTAGAAACATCGATGAGAGAGAGTCATCGATCAGCTGCCTCTTGCACACCCCCCACTGGGGATATGCCCGCAACCAAGGTACATGCCCCTGACTGGAATCGAACCTGGGGCCTTTCAGTCCCAAGCCGATGCTCTATCCATTGAGCCAAACCGGTATCGGCCCATTTCATTCTTAATGGTAGTTGGGCTGGCTCCATTCATGTAAAAGAGGATCACAAAATTCTCAATCAACAAATTCATTAAGAAAAAAAAAATGAGACCACATGCCATTTGTTTTTCTTTTGTTGTGTACCTTGCATTCTGCATCCAACTTTTTTCAACAGATGAATAAAGAGGAATTCTAGATCTAGTGCAGTTGAAATGGTAACGAATGTCAGTACAATTTCATTTAAAATTGAGAAACATCTCAACAACTTATGTAACTAGACTATACAAAAAAATTTATACTATACCCCAGGATCTTCAATAAGAGTCACAACTCTTCCAGGCTGTTTTTAAAAAAAAAGTAAAAAGAAAAACACAAAAAAACAAATAAGTAAAACACATATTTTTTCTCTTAATAAAAGTTCATCAACTAATCAAACATTAGCAAATTATTGTTGACATGGGATATTTAAACTTCATTTGCTCATAATAGACACTTTTTAATAAAGCTCTTATGTTTTATGACAACTTTTAAAGTATGAATTAAGAGAATCTGCTTTATCCAGACTATCTTGGCCTTTATAAACTATTCCCTTCAACTTGCATATATTAGTTAAATATTATGTTGACTTACAATGGAGATATTAAAAAACACACCATAACTAAGGTTGATCTAGAAAAGTTAATGATTTAGTAAATGTTCACAATTATCTTGTGCTAAAATTTTTCCTTTTTTTTTGAAATTGAAATTTTATCTGATATGAAAAAAATTTCACATTTAAATAAATTTTCATTTGGTTGAGAAATGGCCAGTTTTTTAATATATAAAATAGATGCTCGATTAAACTTAGTTAAAAAATTAAGTGAAGCCAAAAGAAAGCACAATTTCATAACGTAAATAGCACTTTGCAGAATCTATATATATAAAAGGCTAAGTGACCATCTGACTGTCTGGTACATATGACACACTGACCACCAGGGGACAGGTGCTCAAAGCAGAAACTGCTGAGTTGCAGCAATTTGACTGGTGGTTCTCAGATGATGCACTCTGGAACCAGAGAGGAGGGAGCCTGATGTTAAAATATTTCTTCTAATTAATTTCCTCTCAATGTGCATGGCTCTGTGCACTGGGCCACTAGTGTAGAAATAAGTCTAACATTTGTTTAAAAATAATACATTTCATACGGAATGATGACTGACTAGGAGCACATGTTGCTGTAAAAATCATAGTCCTATATAGCAATTATGTTATTTTGATTTGATGGGTACTTCTGTAAGGTTTTATATGATTTGTCAGGCAGTTAATATTTATATAAGGTTGGTGATCCACTGTTATGAAAAATGTGAAGTGAATAATAATGTTTTTTCCAGTTTTTTTTTTTTTTTTTTTAAACAGAGCAGCATACTTAGAAAATACTTAGTACTGCCCTAAATGGTACTGGCTCAGTGGATAGAACATTGGCCTACGGACTGAAGGGTCTGGGGTTCAATTCTGGTCAAGCACATATGCCTGGGTTGTGGGTTCCATCCCCAGTAGGGGGTGTGGAGGAGGCAGCCGATCAATGATTCTCTCTCATCACTGATGTTTCTATCTCTCTCTCCCCCTCTCTCTTCCTCTCTGAAATCAATAAAAATATATTTTAAAAAATGCTTAGTACTTACTTAAACTCTCCTTTAGTTTTCTATGATAGTTATTTAAATAGAAGTAGGTGTGAAACTATTACAGTTTTTAAAATTATTGCAATTATTCCCTCCTGACTTATTTTTCATTAAATTTAATTAAAAAGAGAGATACTGGCTTTTATGGCTGTCTTCTTCTAAAGAACCATGTTGTATTAACTTGACAATTTCTTACCAGTCTATTCTCACAGTGTACATATCTCAATGTGTTATGTAACAAACAATAACATTTGGTTGAGACTATAATAAAATATGCTATTAAACCTTAGTTGTAAATATTTATTTATTAAATATATTTTTAAACTTATTTCAGAGAAGGGAGAGAGAATCATCAATTGGCTACCTCTTGCACACACTGAATGTGGATCGAGCCCTCAACTTGGGCATGTGCACTGACTGGGCATCAAACTATGACTCCTGATTCATAAGTCACGCTCAACTACTGAGCAAGGCCTGCTGAGCTTACTTGTAATTATTTAATATTTGGTCATTAAAATTAGAGCCTAGGCTAAGGCTTTCCTTTTCAGAACGGCAATTTTAAATTTTCCTACCTGACCACTCAATCGGTATTTTATTTAACTTAATTCTTTAAAGTATTTAATATTGTTTTATGGCATTCTTGGAGATACTTTGGCCATGAAGTTTCTGTTGGTTTATAATATATGCATTTGCTCTAAGTTACTCTCCTGTTTCCAATCACCTACCTTGAAGTCAAAATTTTTAAAAAATACATATTTTTGATTTTGTACAGAGAGGAAGGGAGAGAGATAGAGTTAGAAACACCGATGAGAGAGTCATCGATCAGCTGCCTTTTGCACACCCCCCACTGGGGATGTGCCCGCAATCAAGGCACATGCCCTTGACCGGAATCGAACCCGGGACCTTTCAGTCCCCAAGCTGACGCTCTATCCATTGAGTTAAATTCTTAATTAACCAACTCTAGTTGAGGTAAAATGACTTCTAACTTAGCTCTTTTTGTGATTTTAATCCTATGTCTCTTTACTGGTACAAGCTACTGTAGGCTCCACTCGGCCCCTCTTTCTAGGACTGTGGGTATTTCTTTGGAATTAACCCCACTTTCTTTCTGCACCTAATTTCTAACACTTTAGATATCATGCTTTTGGGCCAATATTAATTTCTTTTTAAAAAAATATATTTTATTGATTTTGTACAGAGAGGAAGGGAGAGAGATAGAGAGCTAGAAATATCAATGAGAGTCATCGATCAGCTGCCTTTTGCACACCCCCCACTGGGGATATGCCCGCAATCAAGGTACATGCCTTTGACCGGAATCGAACCCGGGTCCCTTTAGCCCCCAAGCTGACGCTCTATCCATTGAGCCAAACCGGTTTCGGCTAATATTAATTTCTTAAAAAAACAAACAAACAAACAAACAAACAAACAAAAAACCGTAATCAAGCTCTAATAACTTTCAGAGTATTTTATTATGTATTTATCAGATTATGTTATGTGAAATAAGCCTCTCAGAGAAAGACAAATACCATAAGATATCACTTAAATGTGGAAGTTAATGAACAAAATAAGCTGAGGGACAAAATAGAGACAGGCATGGATACATGGAATGGACTGGCAGTTGTCAGAGGGGAGAAGGGAGAGGAAAGGGGAACAGGATGCAAAAAGGTGAGGGGATTAGCCAAAGAACGTATATGCATAATCCACAGACACAGAAAAGAGTGTGATGATGGTAGCAAAGGGAAGGAAATGGGGAAAAGAAGAAAAACAGTAATCAAGCTATTACAACTTTCAAAACATTTTAAAGAAAATATAAGCAATAACAATTGTTGTGCTCTTCCAAAAGTTAGGAAGTTAATTAAAACAAGTGTTCAAGTTATCCACATTGTTACTCAAATTCAGTGTTCCTTAGGGATTAGTTGTTTTCAACCAGCACGAGGCTGATTTCCTAAGCAGTGAGCTACTACTATTTTTCTGTACAAATATGAGATGAGTGTCTGCATGACTGACTGAAAAAACAGATCAAAGAACTTATATTTCACATTTATAATTTAGAGAAGAACCATCCAGAAACATTAAAATAATGCTGACATATTAATGGATACTGTTACTCAAATAATAAACGGGGAACTCATTTAACGTGTAACCAAAGTGATCAAAGTAAGTTTCTTAATAACCCAAAGTAATTTTGGAAACGAGTTCTCCTGTGATCGTAGGTGTCATAAAATAAATCTTTGAAAAGATACAAAGGAACCGCAGAAATAACACATACGTTTAAATTCAAACCAACGAAAGCCTGCCAAAGTGCAGAAATACCAACAAATGTAATGGCCAGAAAGCTGAATTTCCAAGTTGACTTTAATATTTCGACTCCGTGGTGACTCCAAGATTGATATTCCCGCCTTTTTTGGGGGCAGAAGTTGCCAAGATAGGGCCCCTGCCAGCACGTCAGCCTTGGGCGAGCCTGCGTGCTTGTGCCCATGTTTCTTGCTGCTCAGGAAGCTAACCACCAGCCTCCCAAGCAGCTTCGGAAGGAGTACCCTAGGTTTGGGAAAGGGTGGAGTCGGGTGGCAGAGGAAGGAGCACAGGTGGAGCAGCATTATCCCTAACCCACAAGCTTGGCCCTGGGAAGCGTTGGGGTGCGGGGCCCGCGGCGGTGGGCAGCCGGCGGGGAGCAGCGCTCCGGGGGGGCAGAGTCTGCGGGTCGGGCTAGGGGCTCACCTTGCCTGGGACTCCGCGGTGGTCTGTGCTGCCTTGCCAGAAACGCCGGCTGTAGCCTGTGATGCGTCCGACGAGCTTGTCCTGATAGGGGAAGTCCACCTTCCAGATCAGGGACCCGTAACCAAAAACCCACATTTTCCGCTAGCACCTCGACGGCCACCGTGGAGGCAGAGCGGGTCTGGATTGCGGCTTGCGGGACGCGTTACCGGCTGCGCTCGGCGCAGGCGCCGGCAAGCCGCATTCCCTGGTTGGTGGCGCAAGGCATACTGGGACTTGAAGTTCGAGGTGCGTTTTCTGGCTCTATTTCGGTCAATGTTCTTTTATTTCCTTGCTTAGAGAGCAAGAAGGCTGAACTTTCTGTATGCTAAACAAGGTTCTCCTGCAGCCTCTGGTAATCACCTTGACCTTCCTCTGGTGCGCGTGTGCAGAGAACTACAATACCCACAATCCCTTTCGGGGTGTGTGGCTCTGAGGTTGGAACTGTCTAATCCCCCCCCCCCTCCCGCCCCCCGAACGGGCCTGAGTAAGGAGAATGGAAAGGGCAGGAGTCCTGGCCAGTGTGGTTTAGATACCCAGGAGAGTATGGCAGTTGACATGTAGATTGTAGAAAGACATTTTGTTCTACTTTGCAAACGGGATTTCAGCCAATTTAACAGCAGCCAGAAGAGTGCAAACTGGGAATGTAATCCATATTTGACTTTACACTTTAAAAAATTACCAGTCTCTTTACCTTTCAAATAGAAGCAGGAAATTTATTACAGAATTTTTAATGCTTGTGAAAGAGCTATTATTAATGCAATGAAATTTGCATATATATTTAAATTTTATGTGAAAACGACCTTATTTGTCTTTCGTATTCTCAGCAGCTCAGAAAAGCGTAGGCAAAGGTTCTCAGCTCAAGTACAGGCTTTGGAAGCTATCTAGGGAAACTCCTGAAACTGTATACAAAACTTGGGGTCTGCGGGTATTTTTCTGAGGAGAAACTTTATATCTTTCATGAGTTTTTCCAACAGGTCAAGGATCCTAAAAAGTGTAACGATATGCTGGTAACACTGGTAATACTGTTTGAAAATACTATTTAGAAAGCTCACTTGGACTATTATAGCTGTGTTTCAGATTATGAAAACTAAAGCCTTACCAAATGATTGTTCTTTGTTGAGGATTTCTATTTCATGGTCTTTAGCTTTATTAAAAATGCTAAACACCCAGGTTCAAAGAGTTATTTCTGCTCTTAAGAAATCAGCAGGAAACTGCTACAAAGAAAAGCTGAATTTAAGAATAAGCAAGTCCTTTTATATTTTCTTTCTTTAAATCTCTTTTCTCAAATCTTTCTTTTCTTGATAAATTATTTATAATGTGGTTCTAGAAAGTTTTTCACCTGTATCAGACTAGACATGTTGTTGGTATTTCCTGAACTATCCCTCAATATCATTAGAAACACTAAGAAGAAAGATGGGGTCAGAATGTTACCAAGAGGGACTATTCCTTTGGGAGATATTCCCTTGAGAATTCTGAATCTTGGCCTAACCCACTTCATAGAGTGATTAACAAGAAATTGTCTTTGTGAGAGTTATATTGAGAACTATATTGGGCATTGACTTGAAATGAACTTTGAAGGGAGATGATGAGGAAAAGAGCAATAATGCTGTGAAGAAATTTCTGAGCTGGTATAGGGAAGGTGAACTCATCTTTTTTTTGATGCTTTTAATGTCTTAATATATTTAGTTAGTGGCACTGTTTTATCAAAGAAAGAGACCTGAGTATTTAGCCCTTTCTGCAAAGGACCACCTGTGGCAGGAAAAGTAGATTTCCTTGTTCTTTTCAATGTTCTTTTCCACCCCTTTTGGGTTTAGCTTTTAGCTGTAGAGGACTATAAATTAACTAGAGGCCCGGTGCATGAAATTCAAGCACAGGTAGAGTCCCTGCCTCCCAGTCTCCCTGTCGCCTCCTTCCCTCACTCCCTCAACACCCTGGCTGCTGCTACCGCGGCTGCTGTTGCTGCAGGCCACCTGCCATGTCCCCGCCGCCCCCTGGTGGTCAGTGCATGTTATAGCAAGTGAACAAACTCCTGGTCTCCCGGTCAAACTTCTGAGGGAACAATTTGCATATTAACCTTTCATTATATAGGATTCTTGAGGCTGAACATTGCTGGACACTAAATTGCCATCTCTGAATGCATTTGGGATTAACTGGAGGTATTTAGCTCTCTCTCATCAACAGAGTTCTAGTGAGTACATTTTAGTGGGAATATGAGTAGGTGCAGAAGCCTGTAGGAAGAAGCTGCTCAAGCAACATTTCCAGAGAAGGAATGATAGAACACTTACAATTCCCTTGCTATTTTTAATAAAAATATTCCAAGGAATCTCAATTCATCAGAGAGATTTCCTGGGTTAGATTAGCAGAGGCTCTGGCTTGACAGGTCTCTTTCTCCATCTCAGACTCTAACTCATGTGAGGGTTGTTAGACGGGTCCACTTCAATTGCTAATCTCTAGGAGTTAATGTTTTATTGACGCTAGTATTTTCTTCCTGCCTTGTTTTGTAGGTTGGTCAAAAGAATGGATTTTTCAGAGGCTTACTCTGACACATGCTCTACGGTTGGACTTGCTGCCAGGGAAGGCAATGTTCAAGTGTTAAGAAAACTGCTCAAAAAGGGACGGAGCGTTGATGTTGCTGATAATAGGGGATGGATGCCAATTCATGAAGCAGCTTATCACAACTCTATAGAATGTTTACGGATGCTAATTAACGCAGGTAAGGTAAATTCAAGGTGGGGGAAGGTGGACCTGCAAGATGGATTAATAAACCAATGGTCATATATGTCTTATTTGTTTCCCTTTCTATAACCATAAAAAAACTGCCTGTGCATTGGTAAGGATGATAAGATTGCCTGCCGTGGGTTGTAAATGTTGTCCTTTCTTTGGTTGTGCCTGTGCCGGGCCCATTTTTTTAAATTGTCTGAGCACAAATGCTATGGTTAAGTATTTGGTAGTTCTGGTCATTGTTTTTTTTCTTTTTCCAAACAAAAGGAGCAGTGTTACTGTTATTGATGGTGTTAGTATTTTGCTTGAATTAGTTTTTCTTTTTTATACTTTACAGTTTCCTTAATTTTGGGAATCTTTCTAATTACTTTGACTTTGTATTTGCTGAGGACACAGAGAACAGGATGGACAAGGTCCTTGCCTTTATGGTGTTTATATTTCCTGTAAGGAAAACAGATAATAAAGACCTAAACAGTTCACCAAGAGAAGAGCAAAAGGTAAAAGTGCTGTAAAAAAACAAATAAAACAGAGTCATAGGACAAGGAGCAATTCTGTGCCACTGCACATCTCTCTCTTTTTTTTTTTCCAAACAAATTGTCATTTATATTTACAGTATACAAATGCAAAGCATTAATTTCCCACTAAATCATCACTTTCTTAAAATGGTACATGTGATGTTATGAAATTAGCTATTAAGTATTCGAAATAGTGGAAAAGAGGTCCTTTCTTCAGTCTTTTTTTTTTTTTTAAGTATATATATATATATATATATTTTTTTTTTTTTGCCCTCCTTCCCTCCCTCCCTCACATCCCCTTCCTCCCCAGAGTTTTATGTCCATTGGTTGTACTTATGCCACTGCACATCTCTTTTCAAGTCACTATATTAGTTGACTTTATGTTTGTAACTGAGAACCAGCTATGTGGGAGTTTTTACTCCACAGAAATCAGCCAGTGCTACAAACAGTGCTATAACCAGGTGTTTTTCCCCTCCCTGAGGCAGTTACACATTTGCTAGCACACTACTGAGAGAAAAGGGCTCAGTAAACGAGCCTTAGTGTAAAATTCTGACACTCATGAAGGCATGGATTTGAATATTTTTTTTCTTGTCAAAAAGCCCATTTCCTGATACACTGTCATCTCTCCCCACATCAGGCAGCGCTAAGGAGCAGCCAGAAGCCAGGCTCACTGGTGAGCTCAGTGGTGGTGGTGGGAGCCTCTCCCGCCTCTGAGGCAGACATCCCTCGAGGGCTCCTGGACTGTGAGAGGGCACAGGCTGGGCTGAGGGATCCCCCAAGTACACGAATTTCATGCACCGGGCCTATAAGATAATTCTCTTGTCCTCTGTAAAAAGAGTGTTATATAATTTCTACTTTCTTGAACTTCATCTAATATTAGTAAACTGGCAGAGATTCCTAAAATGTACCTCTTAAACAGTGTCTGAGAATTTTGTACATGAAATTTCTTGTTGAAATTGTTTTATATTTAACGTTTTCTAAATAAAACATAATGAAATTATGTACATCGTACAAGTGCTTGACTACAAATCTATCAGAAATTGACATTTATCATCCTTTGTGATTGGCACATATTAAATGTATTTGGATTCATTAAATTGTGTTTCAATTGTCGAGATAAAGTTCTGATCTTAATATTTTGCTCCTGTTAATCTCTACCTAAATATCTAACCTCTACTTAAAACCATGTGGTTTTGCTTTCCCTCTTAAAAATGAAAATCTATCACCTATCATTTAAACAAGTAAGCAAGTTTATTATTTATAAGTAAAAGGACACTTTGGGTCAGGAAACAGAGTTGTGACTTCCTTGTCGTTTTGGCACAGGTGTCAGTGGCTGGCATTGCTCCAGCTGACGTGGCCCCAGTCCTCAAAGTGCAGCCAAAAAAGAACTCACGTGTTGTCATAAAAGAACTTAAATGCCCTTTGGGTTTGTCCATTAGGAAATATTTAATGCCCTTACCATTTAAAATTTCAGTAAGGACAATAGAAGCAGAAACTGCTTTGCCTTTTAGTGAGAAGGAAATAGAAGTTATGAGTCATTTTTCCAAGAATCCCTCTTGTAGGGAAAGGAAGAGAGTGAGAGGGTGGTGGTTGATGGTTCAGTACCAGATAAGGTCCCTTTGGCCCCCACATATTAATTAAGGAGGGCAGTTGGTCATTGGAACCTCCAAAACCAGTTTATATTTGGTCCTGAGAATGTTCTTTTCTTTCTTTTTTTTTTTTTTTGGTACATATACCAATGCCCCCCCCCCCTGTACATACCCTCCCTCCCCAGAGTTTTGTGTCTTATATGCATGTATACAAGTCCTTCGGTTGATCCCTGAGAATGTTCTTAAAATGGTATTTTGGAGACTTTACCAAATTTGTAACATCTGGGATAGTATATAAATACTGAAATTCTATTGAATCTCTTTCAGGGTTGGACCAGCTATTTTACCCTTGCTTGATTCTTAAGGGACCATGCTTAGAGAGTTTAAGTAATTTACCCAAAGAGAAATCCAAATTATAATGGGCAGCATCAGAAGGGCAGCCAGGTCTTCCAACTCCAACTCTATTGCCTTGGCTAAATCATGTTACTTTCCTGGTCCAGTGGTTTCAGAGTTAGCTAAATAGCTAAGTATGTATTTAGCTAACTCTGAAACCACTGGATGAAGATTTGTGCAAGAATGGGCCTTCCTTCCCCTGGCTGCTGGCACCGCCTTTACTCTGGCCAGAGCCTCCTTTCCATCTGCCCATGCTGCCCAGAGGCCTAGAGTGGCCTGGGATGGTGCAGAACACCTGCGTCCTAGCCATGGCGATGAGGCAAGCGTCCCCTCTTACCCCTGGCCACTCAGTGCCCATGTATGCAAATTAACCTGCCATCTTTGTTGGGTTAATTTGCATACTCCTGATTGGTGGGTATCATGAAGGTAAGATCAGTTAGCCTGCTACTCTTTTGTTTTTAAATATATTTTATTGATTTTATACAGAGAGGAAGAGAGAGAGGGATAGAGAGTTAGAAACATCGGTGAGAGAGAATCATCGATCAGCTGCCTCTTGCACACCCCCTACTGGGGATGTACCCGCAACCAAAGTACATGCCCTTGACCGGAATCGAACCTGGGACCTTTCAGTCTGCAGACCGACACTCTGTTCACTAAGCCAAACCGGTTTCGGCAGCATGCTACTCTTTTATTAGGTGATGTGTATGTGTGTATTTTTTTTTTTTTTTTGTATATGTAGGTAAAATATTTTAATATTTCAATTTAGTAGTGGTAAACTGCCTTTTCTGTTTCTCATCCTAAGTGAGAAGTGCCTTCTCTTTACTCCATAGATAACTGCATAGGAGGTTTTGTTTCTCTTCCTTTCCGGAGAATATTTAAATAAATTATTTGGAAATTTTTTGATATTTGAATATATTTTCTCTTCCATTTATTCAGTCATTTACATATGCATGGACTCATGGATATTTATTTTATACATTGGGTGACAATCCAATATAATGTAATTGAATTTTTTTGCCCATATTGTTTTACCTTGATCATTGAGTGCTCTTTCATACTGTCTCCTATGTTTGTTTGATATACCCTCATTTTTTGAGCACTTTAAAATTTTCTGGTCTTAAAGACACTCAGGGCTCATTTAAAAAATTAAAACAAAAATGACTTTTATTGATTTCAGTGAGGAAGGGGGAGGGAGAGAGAAATAGAAACATCAGTGATGAGAGATAATTATTGATTGGCTGTCTCCTGCACACTCCCCACTGGAGATTGAGCCTGCAACCTGGGCATGTGCCCTGACTGGGAATTGAACTGTGACCTTCTGGTTCATAGGTTGACTCTTGACCACTGAGCAACACCAGCCATGTTGGAGTGCATTTTATTTTGGAAATGCAATCTTCATTAACTAGTAGTCTTAGGTTAGAAAAGGAGTTTTTTTTTTTTTTTAATTCCATTTCCATGACTTAATTATTTTATAACTGGAAATTTATCCCCCTTGGTCCCCTTCACCTATTTTGCCCATCCCAAATTCCTCTCCCCTCTGGCAACAGTAACCTGTTCTTTGTATTCTTAAGTTTTTTGTTTTGTTTGTTCATTTATTTTGTTTTTAAGATTTTACTTGTAATTAAAATTGTATGATGTCTCTGTTATTTCACTTAGCATAATACCCTGAAAGTCCATTCATGTTGTCACAAATGGCAACATTTCATTTTTTTTTATGGCTGCATAATTTTACATTTTGTGTGTGTGCCTGTGTGTATGTATATGTGTTTGTGCGTGTTTGTGTGCGCTCGTGCTGCAGTGAACATAGGATGCATATATCTTTTTCAATCAAAGGTTTTTTCCCTTCTTTGGTTAAATGGCCAGAAGTGGAATGTTTTAAATCACCTCAATGTTACTATTTGAATATCTAGAAAGTAATAGGGATGAGATCATTTCTCTCATGGAGAAATTAAAAAAAAATCAAATTTATTAATACTTTAGTAAATCTTGCTTAAGCAAATCTTTGGTGTATTATCTTCAGATTTTGCATTTGTGTTACATTTCAACTCCTGCCACTCCCTTTCCTTTACCCGGCAAAAATTAAAGATGAGAAAATGAGTGAGTGGGCTAAAATTATGTGTAAAGAATACCAGAGACCTGTTCACACTATGGCCCCTGTCAAACTTGTTTTGACTTTTTTAGAAGTGTTTTAAACTATGAGCCCTTGTGTCTGTAATTATTTTAATATTTCTTGGAGTCTTTTTGCTTTTTAATTCCAAGAAATAGAATTGATATCTTCTAGTTAGTGGTTTTTTATTCTTTCATAGATTCATCTGAAGACTACATTAGGAGAAAGACTTTTGAGGGCTTCTCTGCATTACATTTTGCTGCACATCGAGGACATTGGAAGATCGTACAGATTCTTCTAGAAGCTGGGGCAGATCCTAATGCAACTACTTTAGAGGAAACCACGCCACTGTTTTTAGGTGAGATATGCCATTTGTGGTACAGATTCAAGTTTCTATTTCACTTTTTTTTTTTTTTTTTGCTAAAAAAACTAAGCTTAAACCCACTGGCATGACTTGAGTGTTGATCTATGAACCAGGAGGTTTGGGCACATGCCCAGGTTGCAGATTCAATCCTTAGTGTGGGATGTACAGGAGGCATCCAGTTGATTCTCTCTCATCATTGATGTTTTTATCTCTCATTCTCCTGTTCTCTCTGAAATCAATAAAAATATTTATAAAAAAGAAACTAAGCTTAATTCCTCTTACTCACACAAGCTGTATACTTTGTATACAAAGTATGTTCTTTGGCAAATGTTATACTGTTATTCTTTGATTCAGAAATCAAAAAGGTATTTTTAAAGGTTTCCCCCTCATTTTACATCCTTGGGTGATAGCCTCTGGGAATATCTTTAAATGTATATAAATCTTTTCTGAATTGTCATCATCATCGTTGCTCTTGATTTTGTTCTGAAGACCAGGCAGAGTATTTTATGTTTGCTTTTTTGCTTTATATTAGCATTAAGATATTAAGAAGAATTTATGGAAGACATTTCCAGCTAATGTTTTTTTAAAAATATATTTTTATTGATTTCAGAGAGGAAGGGAGAGGGAGAGAGAGATAAAAACATCAATGAGAGACTCATTGGTTGGCTACCACCTGCATGCTCTGTACTGAGGATGGAGCTGCAACTGGGCATATGCCCTTGACTGGAATCGAATCTGGGACCCTTTAGTCTGCAGGCTGATGCTCTATCCACTGAGCCAAACTGGCTAGGGCTATTTTCTTAAAAAAAAAATTTTTTTTTAAAATTGATTTCAGAGAGGAAGGAAGAGGGAGAGAGAGATAGAAACATCAATGATGAGAGAGAATCATTGATAGGCTGGCTTCTGCACAGGATTGAGCCCACAACCTGGGCATGTGCCCTGACCAGAATCAAACTGTGATATCCTGGTTCATAGGCCGACACTCAACCACTGGGCCCTAGCTTATCTTTTAATGCCAGTTAATTTGTTGCCTATGAATCACTATTCAAACTTCTTCAATTATGGACTACTTTTATTTTTATTATGGGCTATTTTTTTTAATTCCTTGAGGACAAAAGCCAAATTCTGAAGAGTACACTTTCTTTTTATTATTATTTTTTAATGTATTTTATTGATTTTTCACAGAGAGGTTAGAAGAGAGATAGAGAGTTACAAACATCGATGAGAGAGAGTCATCGATCAGCTGTCTCCTGGATATCCTCTACTAGGAATGTGCCCACAACCAAGGTACATGCCCTTGACCTGAATCGAACCTGGGACCTTTCAGTCCGAAGGCCAACGCTCTATCCACTGAGCCAAGCCAGTTTTTTACAGAGAGGTAGGGAGAGGTATAGAGAGTTAGAAAAATCGATGAGCCTGCAACCAAGGTATATGCCTTGACGGGAATTGAACTTGGGACCCTTCAGTCTGTAGGCCAATGCTCTATCCATTGAGCCAAACCAGTCAGGTCTAAAGAATACACTTTCAATACCTGTCTCTTTTCCCCCTTTCCTCCCTTTGATCCTGTTTGTGTTTAAGGACATTGTGGCCCATGCTGTTTAGTGGAACATGAGAAAACTAAGATAATAAAGCTTTTGCTTAGAAGCAGTGTATTTGGACAGTTTTAATACTGGCCCATGTAATTTGTATGTTTATTTGTTTACTGAATGCTACAATTTCCTTTCTTATGAAATGAGAGTAATAATACAATCTACTCTTTATTTGGCTGATAATAAAATAAGAAGTCTCTGAGAGTAATTTTTTCTTTGTGAACTTAAAAATATAATTCTTAAAAATTTATGTAAACTTTATTATTTTTAGTGTATAGTTCTATGGTTTTGATGTTTGCATAAAATTGTGTAATGGGAACAACAGTCAAGACCCCGAATAATTCCATCATCCCCTTACATTCTGTCATGCTGCCTATTTTTAATCAATCTTTCCTGCCCTCCCTTTACACTTGACAACCACTGATCTGGCTTGATCCCTGTAGTTGTTTTATTTATTTTTATTTTACATTCATTCATTCATTTATTTATTTATTGCAGAATGTCATAAATATATAGAAAATAGTACATGGAATCTTCTAGACTAACTTCTTTTTCTTAGCATAATGCTTTTGAGATTCACATTGTTGCATATATCACTAATTTATTCCTTTTTATTGCTAAGTAATGTTCAATGATATGAATATGCCACAGTTTACCCACTTACGAGGTGTTAGACATTTGAATTATTTTCAGTGTTTGATGATTATGAATAAATTGCTACAAACATTTAAATGCAGGTTCTATATGAATATAAGTTTTTATTTCTCTTGGATTAATGTTTAGGATTGTTGGGTCATGTGGTCAGTGAATGTTTAACTCTGGAAAAATTTTGGAAGTTTCTTATAAAGTGACTATTATTTTGTAATCACTTTGGTAACGTTTGAGAGTTTCAGTTGCCCCACATTTTCTTCAACACTTGGTAATGACACATTTTTCTGTTTTGTTTTTATATTTTAGCTATTTTAAGAGATTTAATTTAGTGGTATTTCATTATAGTTTTAACTTGCATTTTTCTTGATTGCTAATGATGTTGAGGATTTTTATGTGATTATTTGCTATTCCCTCTCCCGTTAGTTTTGTTTAGAAGTTTTGTTTTGTAATGATTTCAAATTTACATAAATCCTATATAATAAAAGGCTAATATGCAAATTGTCCCCTTGACTTGGAGTTTGAGCAGGAGTTTGACTAGGGGATGAGGCTGACTGGCCAACCTCCCTCGTCCCTTCCCCCTGGCTGGCCCAGCCTAATCGGCTCTGATTGGCTGGACCCCACCTGTGCACAAATTCGTGCATCAGGCCTCTAGTTTTCAATAATAGTGCTAAGAACATTCCCCTCCCCTGCTCTAAAGTGTTGTATTAACTGTAACAATAACATTTATTGAGCATAATGTATACCAATTTCTTTTCAGGTGTTTTACATGAATTAGCTCATGTAACTTTAAAAAATATATATTTTATTGATTTTACACAGAGAGAAAGAGATAGAGATAGAGAGCTAGAAATGTCGATGAGAGAGAAACATCAACCAGCTGCCTCCTGCACACCCCCTACCAGGGATGTGCCCTCAACCAATGTACATGCCCTTGACCAGAATCAAACCTGGGACCTTTCAGTCTGCAGACCGACGTTCTATCCACTGAGCCAAACCAGTTTTGGCGCCCATGTAACTTTAAAAAATTATTTTTATTGATTTTTAGAGAGAGGAAGGGAGAGGGGGTGAGAGAGAGAGAGAGAGAGAGAGAGAGAGAGAGAGAGAGAGGGAGAGAGAGAGACACAGATGTGTGTGTAAAACATCTATTGGCTGACTTCTGCATATCCCCTACTGGGGATCACCCAGCTTGTGCCCTGACCAGGAACTGGCCAGGCAGCTCATTTAATTTTCACCATGATTCTACAAAATATGTATTGTTATTATTTCAATTTTTACAGGTGGAGAAAATTGTAAAAACATTGTATTTAGGATCAGAAAAGCTGTGTTTGAATCTTTATCCTGCTATTGTTTGTATATTAGTTAGAATAGCATTTCCTGAATTGATTCATTGAGCTATAAATAGATGTTCATTGACATGTGTTGGGAAAATGCTGTGTGCTATATTCCCTAGTCTAGGGAAACAAAAAACATTAGCCATGTACTTTAATGTGTACACCCAGTCTGAAGTATCCTCTGCACTTGGTTACCTTATTTTAGTATTTTCATAGCTCTTATCACTGACTGCAGTTATTTTATTAGCTTTTTTGTTTATTGACTGTCCCTTCCACTAGACAGAATGTTCCATAAGAGCTGGCATTTTATTGATCTTATTTGTTGTCATACCCCTCAAAATCACATTAGTGCCTGGTACATGGTAGGCCTTCAATAAGTTATTTGTTGAATGAAAGAAGGAAGGTCTCTGAGTGGCCTCTTATAAAACACTTGTTTTAACTTTAACGCAGCATTTAGAAATGTATTTGACCGAAATATTTTTTTTCTTTATGGGCCATAAAAAACAGTAATATTTTATAGGACTATTTGAGAAATGCTAGTTTAGTCACATAGTTTCAAAATATAAATCTCATTTATGAAATTTAGTATTATGCTTACTTATGTAGGTATTTAGAGAAAATTAGAAATGCAGAGTTTTTAGTAATTTTTATTTCATAATATAGTTAGCTTGCGATTTTTTTTATGTTAAGGAAGAGTTGTTAAGATAATTCAAACCCACGAATGACCTTTAATCAGTTATTTTTAATAATAGGATTTAGTTTTTTTGACAGCAAACTTACCATTTTAATTATTTTTTTTTTTTTGTATTAGCTAATACAAAAAGGAATTTAACTCAAGCGGGGGTTTAAACCCAAGGAGATTTTTGTCCTGTAGTACTTTTACATGCACAAGTGTTGCATCAATTATATTAGTTTGGAAGTAGATAACAGTATTTTATATATATACACATACACATATGTATACACATATGTATACATACACACACACACTATATATATATAATTGACTTCAGAGAGGAAGGGAGAGGGAGAGAGATAGAAACATAAATGATGAGAATCATGGTTTAGCTGCCTCCTGCACATCCTCCACTGTGGATGGTGCCTGCAACCTGGGCATATGCCCTGAGCATTAACTGAACTGTTAACTCCTGGTTCATGGGTCGATGCTCCACCATTGAGCTACGCCAGCTGAGCTATAAGAGTATTTTTTTTTTTTTAAGTAAAAGCACAGTCTTAGCTTTTGCAAGAGCATAATTTCAAAGAATGGACATATGACTCTAGTTAGGTGCACTGGGCTCCAGGGTCTGCTCTGCTGGTAAATAATTCGACAAACTCTAGCAATCTGCTTTGCTTACCTGTGTCTTTCTGCCTCTTTTAAATAAACATAGTGACCCATCTTTTGATATATAATGGAAGAGAGTCT